AGAAACAAAAATCCAGTAATGTTAGAAAAGATATATATTTTTTTTTGTCAATTTCAGTTGCTTGAAAGAATTATTTTCCAATACCGTTTTTAATCCCACTTACGTTTTTAATGCTGGTATAAAGGGCGAAAGAAAGGAAAACGTTAAAATAAAAATTGAAACTTAAACGATATGTTCATTAAAACTTTTTCGTAGGCATTTCCTGCTGTTTTTTAGTTTGTCAAATAACTGTCAGCGGCGGAATGCCTCCGCCCTCGTCCTGTTCACACGGTAGCGTATAGCGTAAACATTACTCAGTAAACGGTATGAAGTTAGGCGAAAATAACTACCTTCTGTAGATCCTTCCAAGGCTTGTTCAGCGGTCATGTCTAATAGATCTACCAAAAAAGTCTTCCCCTTCCTAAAAAAAAACAAAACACCTCCCTTTGAGAAAAACACAATTTTAACTTGCGCATTACTACCACGAATTTAAAGTATACCGCAACACAAAGCAGAGTTTTTTCGAATCTTTTCTGGATCACCGCCTCTTTGTTTGAATTTATTAGTAACATTTGAATTTATTTTTTGAATTTTTTGAATTTATTAGTTTGAATTTATTTTTTTGAATCTGTGCTTTTTTTTTTTTTTTTTTTTTGTTGTGTGTATGTTATATATATATATATGTTGTATGATCATATACATACACACACACACAGAAACATTATATATAATATATGTATGTGTATATATGTACATATTATTTACTAAAGAAATATTGATTATATTATCTCCTAATATAAATTTAGTAGAAGTAAGTAAGATAAATTCTAATAATTTGCAACAACCTCTTAAGTCTCCTTTTCAACTGGGTTTTATTTCCCATGCTATCCTGAACATAGTAATACTCTTATAATAAAACATATAATAATATATTTTTTATTATAAGAGTTATAATAGAATAATAAATGCCTATTTTATTCATGACAGTCATAGAATAAAATAGCACTTGGCCCATATAAACCTACGTTTTAAATGGTTAATGCACCACTGAGTAACATGCTTATGTACTCTTATAATAAAATTTCCTGACGTGCGTTTATTTATTTATTTTTTTCAAAATTAATCTCGGCGTATGATTGTTCGGCTAATGACGCAGCCACTTGCAGATGCCTAAACTCTGCTAATGACGCAGCCACTTGCAGAGAGGAAAACTTTGTCCTATTAGAATTAAATCGAAACCTTAATTAAACCAGTAACAATAAAGTAATATAAAGTCTTCCTATATTGAGAAATTTGTCCCCCAGAGGCTATAGTAGGAGACGACTGCGATACCAAAGGGCCCGGGTTCGAATCCCGGAGAAGGCATGGATTAACTGTCAGTTCCTTCATAGAAGGCAAAGGTAGCCCACCTATTAGGTGCCTCCATAATAAAGAGACCACCACTTTCGGCCTTAGTAGGGGCCAAACCGAAGACATCTGAGGGCACGCCATTAGGGGAAAAATATCGAAAAATCTTCGCCATTCTTTAAAATACCAATAGACTCACGCTCGCTTCTGCGCTCATAACATTTATTTATTTATCCCCACTGAGCAGGTTTCTGACCTAAGGTGTATACCAAACAGAAATAGTGCCTGCTCAGCGAAAGATCAAGTACAATCTAACAGTCGCCACTACCAGGGTCGGGCTGCAAAGTTTTTTTTTTTTTTTTTTACAAAATCAGAGAATTCATATAAGTAGCAGTATTTCAAAAACAAAGCCAGCTTGCATTCATATGCTTCATATAATTCAGAGTTATAAGGCGCTGGATAACATGTCCGTCGCATCTCATCTCTCAATTAGTATTGTTTCACACGGGCTGAATGCATGGCTGATTTTCGTGGTTTTATCCAGGTGTAACATGTAGACGAGCCACTGTTTCCTACGGCGTTCGTCATGAAGGCATCCCTACACTCAGGCAGATAGCCCTTATGTGCTTTGTCTTATTGAAATAATCAAGATCTTTATTCTTACCCTGAAAGTTTATCTATGGTGTGGTGTGGTGTATTTAATTATGGCAAAGCACAATAGGGCTATCTGCCTAAGGGGAGGGATGCCTTCGTGGAGGACTTTCTAAGGGAAACTGGCTCGTATACACGTTACACATGGGGAAAACCACGAAAACACCCATGCAGCCAGCCCGTTCGCGGGATTCGAACCTCGGACCGAACTACCAGTTCAGCGACTTTACCGCTCGGCCGCTGGTGGGCGAAAGTTTATCTATGAAATTAGATTTAATAAATATGTCACTGAACTCTAGCGTTCTAGAGTTTTAAACAAAATCGCGATTTTTCAACGCGTTTTTCCCTGCTGTAGAAGAAAAAGAAAATTCACAAAGCAAATTATATCAATAGGTGGCGGAAAATTTTATTTGGAAGCGATTTCAATATAAACCACCAGTCATAACTTGCATAACAAGTGCAATAGCCAGTATCCCGAAATTTACCATATTTTCGTCTATGATTTGATAAGTGAGTTAGAGATGCCGCATGGCAGCGGATCGAAAGTTAAGTCATATTGCACACAAAAACCTAACCCTTCTTTTTCGGGAGGGAGGAGAATCAAAAATGCTTTTGCCCCCGAAGAAGAAAAAGAGGGATCTGCGTCTGCCTGCCTTTGAAATCGATAAAGTATTATTCGAACTAATGTTGAGTTTATAATTCTCATTCAGTCTGATTCTGTATTTTCATCCTCTTTCTTTCGATGTTTTCAGTTATGATCAAGAAGATCTTCATAACCCAGTTTTGATTTATGTGAAACAGATGCTTGTGGTAAACGAAAACTCACTACTCTCTTACAATCATTGTAAACAAATTATGTTTATTTTTCAAAGATATAAAAGGATGTATGTGCAATGGGTTTTAAATTTTACAGCAAGCGCTGCTTTTATAAATCTGGATTCGGTTATTTTGGTAGAGTGTTGAAGAAGAAAAAACTCTGAAAGCTTTAAGATTTTACATTACACCCAAAGGGGCGTTTTTTTAACGTTTTGTGTGCTACCTTTGTTTAGTAAATATCACGTTCTTTGCTCATAAAACATAATTTAATTCAACAGCAATATCGCATGAGTATATCTTTACAATTTCCCATACACAGTCTCGCGTGCTCAAGATAATTTTTTTTTCTTTTTTTTTTCCATACAGTATTACTATTGCTCGCTTTGAAATCTTTGAGTCTGTTAATCAAAAATTCGTTAAAGTGTTACAAAATACGAAATCGATAATAAAACAACGGGCTTCCAGATGCCTATATTCAGTGGAACATTACATTATTCAAAATTTGATGGCTCTAGATACCGCTGTTTTATCCCAATGCGAGAAACATACATATATTAATGCAGATTCTTCGTTATTCTTTAAATATAACACAGGGCTCTAATATTTGGTGGCAACAATTTGAAAAGTGAACCAACACAAAATGCCAAAACGAAATTAATAGCCCTTGTGGGCTAACGCCCTTTGGGCTAAAAAGAAATAAAATAAAACTTTTTATTTATTTTACATTACGCCCAAAGAGACTTTTTTTAAGTTTTGTGCTTGTTATCTTTATTTATTAAATATCATGTTCTTCGCACTTAAAACATAAAAATTCAGTTCAATAGCAATATCACAAAATAATTTTAAAATGAGCATTTCTTTAGAATTTCCGACACACAGTCTCGCGTCTAAAGATAAAAATGTTCTCCCCCCCGTACAGTGTTGCCATTGCTCGCTTTGAAATCGTTGAGTTTGTTAGTAAAACATTCGTTAAAGTTTTAAAAATTATGAAATAGATAATAAAACAAATTCCAAATTTCGGCTTTCAGATGCCCACATTCGAGTGCAGACGTACGTCATTCAAAATTTAATGGCTCTAGGTACCGGTGTTTTATCCCTATGAGAGAAGCATACATACATTTATGCAGATTCTTCATTATTTAATTTCTTTAAATACAGCATAGGGCTCTAATATTTGGTGGCAACAATTCAATTTGAAAAGTGAGCCGACGCAAAATGCCAAAACGAAATTAATAGTCCTTCTGAGCAAATTGGACTTAAAAAAAAAAAAAAAAAAAAAAAGAGGATTTGTGTTTGTTCTCTAAAAATATAATGCTTAAAATTAATATCCTGCATATTTAGAAATTATATTTTAGTTGAAGCTTTCATAGTTTTCCCTATGATGAGATCTTTCTTTATTCCTCATCGCTTTAACGCTTTTATTGAAAAGAAGGGAGAAAGAAAAAGTAAAATGGGGGTAGATTTTCTGTTACTAAGCCAGATGGGGGATACGTAATGCATTCGGGAGATGGGGTAAAGGTAAGATAAAATTCTCATTCGCAATAGCCCCTTAAGTTTCCTTCATAATTTGGTTATTTCTGCTTTCTGTCCTAAACAGTAAAATTTCGAAACTGAAAAAAAAACTGACAGGCAATGAATATATAACTTTGTTATTCTTAATCTAGAAGCAGTACCTTAGCCTTTCTTCATCACATGTTGTAATATAATAAATTTGTAAATGCGCGCTTGTAATTATGCAATACCGGGCGTGCGTCTTGCTCCAGTTTAGCTGGGTATGTTAAATGAATATTATGCCAAGAATAAAGAAGTGTGTCAATCAGCCAGATAAAAGCAATATCACTCAACCATCCAATTATTATCAACTAGGACAGACTGAAAGAAATTTCCCAACGAAGCAAACAATAACGATAATAAAAAAATGTAATATGACACCATAGTAAATAAATGTGGTGCACCATGATAGCTAAATGGCTAAGTGCCCAGTCAAGCTTGGATAAATTTGTAGATTTCAAAACGTTTTTTAAAGATATCATTATTCATATTTTATAAATATTGCGTAATTATTTTTCATTTAAGCTAATTAAATTCATTACCATATACAATATAATGTAATTTGTGTAATTAATTAATCACAATAATGAAAACAGATTTACTTAATAGTCTTTATTTCTTTGCAAGAAATTACCAATACAAACAAGAAATAACAAAATATTTTAGTTTTTTTTATAATTAATATTATGTATACATGCATTCACATAACGATAATAACAACACAACGCAATGCTATAAGTATTACAATAGCAACAATATTTTAACAGCTAATATATGGAGAGATGAGCTTTTTGGAAAGTCAATAACATTTATCTCTTAGAAATACGATTTGTTAATAAAGTCATATTTCTGCAGTTTGTAGTCCATCTGTTTTGTCAAAACCTGACATAATAGCACTAAAACGTCCTTCCAGTGATACTTGGGAGAAAAGCTGAAATGCAAAGCGTAATGCTAATTTGCAGGTAAAATATTTAAACTGCTAAGTAATTTATATCTAATCGTATTATAATGATATAGTATAATTATAAACTACTACTAGGTTTGTTGACCCTTTGAAAACTTAAGTCCTACGGCGAACCCTCAGGTGATTTTGACGCTCCCGATGGGATGAAATTGCCCACAGAGAGAAATAATGATATAGAAAGAAATTCAAAATTATTAACCGATTTCAAGTGACTTTATTTCTCCAATTTGAAATTTGTGAGAGAGAAGGAAAAATAATACATGAAATGAAAAGAAACTTTCCCAAGTTTTTAAGCAAAAAATGAAAATGAGATAATCACGTTCTTAACATACTTGCTCCAATACATCCTTTGCAATTGTCTTCGCAGTAACAATAGCGGAAAAAGAGTAGAATTATTTTTTCTCTACGGGTGATGGACAGTTTTACCAAAGAACATCCCATATACATTCCCAAAGAAACATGTTGTATGGTATAAAATCTGGTGACTTAAAAAGCAATCATCTAAGTCATCGAGTTTACTAGATTGATTCAATGCAGCATGGGTACTTCTTTAAATAGAGTGATCAGTATTTTGATGACATTTTAAAACTTTGAGCTTTCCTTCTTATAAATTTGCCTAACGTGATCATAAATTTATCGAACCTGAAGTTACTGAAATCAAACGTAGTAGTCGTTGTTGGTGTCACTAATTCTCACTTTTCTGACCTATAGTCAGCCCAAGTCCACGAATTCCTCATGGCAAGGAATGTAAGATACGCCTGTCGTTGGCCTTGAGCACCTTACATGTGATAGTGTGATTTAGCTCAGTTTCGCCCCAATTATGATAAAGAACACCAACGAGGGAATGGGTCCAAGAGTCTCCCACCGCTCTTCTCCTACCACCAACCTCTCGAGAGGACTTCCGGCTCGTCGCATATTTAGAGTGCCCCAATGACATAGGGACACTATACATTTACAAATATCTATGCCTTCTCCGGGATTCGAACCTGGGCCCTTCGGCACGAGTTAGCAATGTTAACCACTATACCGGTTGGGCGGCAACGTGGTGATCTAGCGCTAATATTCGAAGGTAGATTGTGTACTCAACAGAAAACTGTAAAACAAATAAATACATTAAGAGAAATTTGTAAAATTAATTGTCGCAAGGAAATTGTTAATATATATTACAAATCGGAAGCTATGTCAGGCGAAAACAGTAAGGCCCATTTCGCCTAATCCGTTTTGATTAAAGAAAGCGAGTTTGAATTGTGTCAGAAAGTGACTTTTCGAAGAGCGGATGGAACCGAAAAGAGAGAATCAATGGGAAGCTGCAAAGGACGAATAGCCACAGCTTTGAGCAAAGGGTGAATCAACACTATGCCCTAATATGAGCGTATGTTTGTTCTCGAAGACACTTTTGGAGGAGGCCTTTTGCCCTAGCTCGTTAAATTGAAATTAAAAAAAAATCAAGACCGCACAGAAACTGGAATTTAATATATTATAACCGATGTAAATGTGATTAAAAATGACAGAGATTTAAAATGCATTAAATCAGTGGGTCCAAAAAATGGGTTCCTAACTGCAGAAAACTTTGCATGGGTCACGAAAATTTTGGACGATTTTTAGTTTTTGGGTAACTACAGTATTTTTCTTTGCAACTAATTAAGTTGTAATTATAAATACGTTTTTAATAATTAGACAAAATTATTTATAATTAATTCACTGTCACATTAATTTCTTCTACGACGCTTCCCCTTCTTCTTTTCTTCCCCGCGGGACAAGTAAATGCATGCCGGTTACTTTGCTAAAAATTATGGAAAGCTACCAATTTTCATACTTTCATACTTATGTGAAAAATTTCATACTTTCCTAATGGAATTCATTTTATTTTTCAGTTATTTAACGTTCTACGCATCGATGCTATTCATTATCAAGGACGGCGCTATCACTGCCCATTTTTATCCTTCGAGATACACACATGCAAAATATTAGTATGCACAATACAGTACAAGTTACGCTTAGTTACATAACAGACTATCTATCTTATCTTTCCCGCGCCTGTTGGACATTCGCTAGCGTCAACTGGGCTTTCACGCATTACGCAGTTAACATCCTTCTTGCTGTTAGAAATAGGTTACTACGCAGGCGTCAGAGAAAACACCCGTCTCCTTTACCGCTCGCTCTGCAAGGCCTGTCAAACTGGCTTTCTAATATACTGGCGTCGAGTTGATGTTTGGAAAGGGGAGAACCCCTATTGTGTGGAGAGTACAGACAAGTCTAGGTGACCTATGGGACTATTAAGTGTTAATGCTTTCTTTAACTATTTTTAAACAAAAAAATTATCACGTTTTTAAAATTTACCGCCTCGCATCTGAAATGAGAATTCTCATAAATATGTTTTTCTCATAAAGAAAGCAAAATGCCCTTCAGAGTCAGATTACTGCGTTCTGCACAATATATGTGAGCTTGAAATTCAGCGGATTTAGAAAACGGTTGCTTTTCAGCAGAGAAAATTCTAACATTTCTTCATTTCACTTTATTCTGATAAAAAGTTCGAAGTAGCCGTTTTATAATTTATCTTTTGAAATATAAAAGGAAAAGGATACCAAATGCTTATGCAGTTTAATAATACGTTTTATGAAGAGAAAAAATAATTTCAGTTAAAAAAATAATAATATTCCTGTGAAAAATTATCAAAATTTCTACACAAAGTTATTAAAATTTGTAACAATTTTGGATTTTACTTTGACTAACATATTTTTTTAAACATTTTAAAGTAGGAAAACACGTGTTATCTAATTTAATCAAGAAACCTAAGATGATACAGTAAAGTCTGAGCATTTCTTTTAAAGAGGGATAACATTTCAATTCAAACTAAAAAACAATAAGAATTTGAATAATTATTTCTTAGTCGAAACTGAAATCTAGCACCTTTAATTCTATTTACGAAAAAAAAATTTTTTTTTAAAGTGCTGTTATTCTTTTATTTATTTAAATTATTTGCGTATTAAATATTAATATACAAAGCAAATTAAAAAATAATTATGCGTGGTGATAAAATTCATCCTAACAGATTCGGAAACAGCAAATATTGGTGCATCGCCCAAGACCTTTGATTACATCTATTTCTGATTACGGATTAAATTACGTAACGAAAAGCACCTATTCTCTTTCTCCGAACTAAATACAAGGTATTTAAGACATCCGATACCCATTTAAAGGAGGTTAACACCTCCGTGCTCGCTCAAAATTCGGTATATTTTCATTTACCTTCCACAACAAGCTCAAAAACAACTTTACTTTAGTATCGACTAAGTATACTCATTAATCTACATAATCGATATCAGGTGCGCGATACAGACATCAAAACTGATACATCGAATATCGTTAGGGGTACAATTTACAAAGTTTTACCTTGATTACTGCAGGTTCTTGATTATGTAGATTTCCTGACACATACTTATAAATAACTGCAGCTAAATTTTATCGATGGCAATTTTTAATGATAAATCAAAGCTTAGAAAACATTTTTAAAGTTAATTAAATAAGAGGAAGTGATAGATATATAAATGAACATTAACAAAAAGCAAACACGCAAGGAAAATGTATACATAATAAGCATAAAATTCCAGTTCGAAATGCTTCATTTTACATTTTCTTTTGCTAAATCCTTTACTTGCTCACAGAGCCTCGTATAAAATAAAATGATATAACTGAATTGCGTAAATTCAATTGATGAACAAATATTGTACGCAGAGTTTGTAAATTACAACAGATTAGTAATAAACGTACTTATGTTATCAGCATTATAATTTAGCATGGTACACTTACTCTGATAATCCCTAGTATAATATGATGTCTAAAAACTTTCCGAATCAGCTCATTTCAGAAAAAATTAAACAGTGAAAATAAAACATCACAATGCTAATGTGAATTCAAGGTTTTTCTCTAAGTTTGACTTCCAGATGTAGTAGTCATGATTTTGGGACTCATTTTTAATTTCATGCAAGACTGTAAATGTAAGACGACTGACACTGACGACGACAAAAACGCAAACTGAGCTGATTCTTGAGACTCATTCTATATGTCTTTGGTGTAACAATCTTAAATGAATTAAATTTCGTCCAATAAATTAACCCTTATGCTCTTCGTTTTTAAATAAGGACATAATTAGACTAAGATTTACGGTTTAAAATAAAGCGCTAATCTCTACAATTTTCTATTGTTTTAACAGAGCGAGGAATTCAAATATGCAGCTAAGAGACAGGGGGTTAGGCCATCTATTAACTGGCCTACTACATAGCTGCAAACTACATAACTATTTTGTAACAATACATGTTATTCTTTCGAGTACTGAAAAGAAAACAGCAATGTTTACATTCCGTGAATGACATAAATTGCTAATTTAAACATGGATTACGAAAAATATTGCTCTCAAAATATTGTAAAATTCCAGCTTATCGCTGTGGATGTTACAGAATATGAAAAGTCAACGCGGTCGAACTTGAATTTAGAACCCTTTAGGATAGAAAAAAAATTGACTCTTGAAGAAAAAAAAAAATTCTTTTTTTTTTCAGATTATTTGAGGAGAAACCTAACCAACTTCATAGGCAAAGGTGCTGGCATCTTTATATAAGTTTTTTTTAATAAGCTCAGAAAATTTGCTCATATTGCTCATCATATTGTTCATAAAGTTTGCTCACCTTTACGAAAATCCGTTTTTAGCTTTTTTTTTTATTTTTTGGTTCAATGGCGGGCTCTTGCCGTTTATAGACATTGGGCACTACTAAGGCCTGAAGAAGTGGTCTGTTTAATATATGAGTATCACTCTTATGAAAGGCAGGAAAAATTACATCCAGGTCTTCTCTGGGATTCGAACCTGAGTCCTTCGGTATGACAGTCAGAGTCACTAATTATTTTGTCGTCGGGGTGGCTCCGTTTTTAACTTAGTTTTCGGCATTTTAAAGCAAGGTCAATTTTATGAAAGTAGGATTTTTATTTTATTTTATTTTATTTATTTATTTATTTTTATTTCTCGCCTTATTAATCGAAGTAGCAAACTAAGACCATACTTGTGTAAGTGTTGCTCTGTAATGTTGCAAATACCTTTATGAAGGCTTTCCCCCCCCCTTTCTTTCTTTCTTTTTTTCTTCTTCTTTTTTTTTCTTTTTTGCTTGCAAGTTAAAAAAAAACTGATTTTAAAATAAGTGCTCGCATTTTTATGTAAGAGCATTTTCAGAAGGTTTTTGAATTGGCGCTCACTGGACCACCTGCATAAGCATACCGTTATCCCTATCACAGGGCAAATGCGAAAATTTCCCATCGTTTCCAACAGCATATAAAATATTAAATTACTCGTTTTCAGTTTAATAAAACACTTCGTTACATTCGAAGCAAATCACGTTTCTATGTGTGTAAAGTTTTCATACCTGTTCCCACATAAAGAAACCTACATATAATCACTTTTTTTAATAATACAAATTGTAATTCCATGTCTAAATAAATAAACATGATGCAGAAAACGTTTTCAATTTTTCGAAGCCTCGTGAACTACACATAGATACACACATTTGTATTTATTTATAAGATATAAATACACGCTTATTTATGTATTTTTAAATTTACGAATGAGCGAAAAAGAAGCTTTAAGAAGGGTTAGCTACGGGTCAGTAAATCCCTATAGCAAACATTTGCTTGATTTGTTTAAAGAATTGTCATTTTATAATTTTATAAGAGTTCCTTTAATCCTTTTTTTTAATACTTTTTACAGAACTGGTTTTGCTATAAAAGCTTTCAAGCCACACTATTATTTAGCATTTGTCGACAAATAAAAGCTTTCCAAAATACCTCTAAATGAAATATTATAGATGCTATCATGTATTCTACACTAGACATATTCCACAGGCAAAATCGATATTTGGCATGTCTTTGCTTTCTAGTGATGTCTCTATTTTTATTTAATGAAAAGCGTGAGAAAAAGTGCGTTTATTTAGACTTTTCGACGGTGTTAATTTTGCTGGAAAGTTTTTAATTGGCATTTAAAGAAAACTTTAAATCTCATTAAAGTAGCATTCAAATAGCTTCGCGTTGAAATATTTGATCTGACGTCAGCATAGTTTTATGTGCGTTAAATTTATATCCATTAAAATGCGAATTCGGATGAAAATTTTGCTCTGTGTTTTAAGAAATGTAAGGACGAGAGCATAATATGCCAGAAAAGTAATATTGCCCTTTAGATACTTCTTAAACATTATGCGATTATTAATTTACAGTACAGGCTTATATTGTTTACCTTACGCAAAGTGAAGGTATATTCTTTCTCTTATTTAACTCTTAGAAGCATGGGTACAAAAGTGTTCCCTATATAAGAATGGAATATTATTCAATTTTTAGATTTCAATATAATAAGAAAATTTCGTAAACAGTTACGCGTATATTATAATATATAGTTTACAGTGTGCGTGTAGTTAAAAATTTCAAAGAAATATCAAAGAAAACATTGTTATAAATGAAGGAATCATATTTATAATGCGGAAAATTGAACTGTGTAAAAGATCTAAAGTGAGAGACGTACTTTCTATTATTTGTTCATCGCAACCTTTAAAACAAAACAAAAGCTAAATAAATAAATAAAGTAAAATAAATCAAAGAAAAGTGTGTAAGAGAAATATCACATCCTTTCAAAAAACAAATAAAAGGTGGAAAAAGGGAAATGGAGCTATGAGATGAAAGTATAACAAAAATCAGTCAACGAGAGAAGAGCCATTAGAAGAAAGTGTTATATCTTGTGCTTAGCAAACCATATCCAGAAACATTAAAGTGGTATTTTATATCTGCGTCAGACTCTTTTTTTATATAAGAATAAAGTAACTTTTCAATGTACATAAGCCCACGATATACTTAAGAACAGATAACGATAGGCCAATTCTGCCCGATGCCGAGATCGTTTAAGCGCGATGACTGAACATCAAACGGAACAGGTTCTTATTGAATCTTAATGATTGCGCGCAGGTTTGAAAACTTCTAGGAAAAACATTTTAAAACTTAGTCACCTCAAAACTATTTATTTTGTTTAAAATGTTTCTTAAAATTTAGTTTGTTACTCATGTAAACGATTTTTCTGGCATATAAATTCATAAGATAAAAATCGAGCTGAGCTTTTTAATTACTTTTTTGTGTTTTATTTCAAACAGCATCAGATGGCTAATTAGTATAATTTAGATATTTTTACAGAAACAAAAAATTCAGATATCCCAAGAACAGCTTGGACAGAAATTTTAGCCTAGACATTTAATGAGTCATTGTTTAACATTGGTGAACATTTAGAGTTCAATTTCTATGGCAATTGATCAGCTATAAATAAGACATTAATAAGAAAGAAAATCACAGTTTTCCATCTTTATGAGACTTCTTGTTCCGTCGACCTTATGACATAAGAAGTGTTTTTAATGATATTTAAATAAATATATTTTAAATGTAAAATATTATGAAGAATATTTGTATTAGTTTTTAAATACGTTTTATTAAAAATAAATGAAATATAATTACTAAGAAAGGAACTTGAAACTACTAGAGTGCTTTCTGAAATGTGTCTTCATTAAAGAACATCAACAATATGCATGGAAGACCAGTTTTCTCTGTAAGAAACAAATCTTCCATCTTAGAAAGTAAAAATCCAGCCAACAATCTGCAGTGAATTAACATCAGACTTTTACTATTTATTTGCATTTCCATTTAGATTCTGAGATACTGTATTTTAAATCTTATAAACGGCTATGGGTCTTTATTCGATGATAATGATTTATAACCATTATATAAACCATATATATTATATTCGTAACCATTATATAAAACAATTTTAAACTTTGAGGGAATACTTGCGTTATAGAAACCACAAGCAGAGTACGTATTTCAATAAATGTCTGCTCAGTTTCAATATAGAGATAAGTAATCATTCCTGAATTGCTGACAGGATCGTCATTAGTCAGCATCAACGTCAAACGAGAGCAGATGTCCATCGCTCCTGGGACTCTCACCGACACCGCGAGGTGCCATTTTCTCCATTTGATCCCTCCCCTCAAACTTAGATCTGGACAACGTCATCCAGGGCTGAGAAGGGGGTGTCATAGCCAGAATTAAGGAGCCGGTCAGTAGAGGATGGCGCCATGCAGGCGACCAATCCTCTTCGGTAACTCAATAACGCTGCTTTTGAACCGCTGGACAGGACACCAAAGACTGTTTCTCGCTATGCATCAGTAACGTACAACGGGGCACTTACGCAAACAACAGCGTAACTGTTGCCCCCCCTCTTGTGAAACTGATGGGACAAACCCACTAAACATCGCTGGAGAAGGGGGAATGTTACAACTTTTTGGAATGCAGAATTTCCAGGAAGGAAGGAAATGCTCGCAGAATGGGTGAAGCAAGCGAGAAATCTGGAGGAGAAAACTACTGCCGTAAACAGAACTTTAAGCTGAAAGAAATAAATCCATAAACTTAGGAGCAGTGAGATTAATAGGAATTCGGAAAACGATTTTGAATCGAGAGAAACGATGGAGCATATAACGAGTAGCAACTAACTAAATAATTTATTATTGTTTTATATATTACAGTTATTCAAATATTAACTAAGTAAGCAGTTTATTCATTGCGTTGGTATTAATTTTTGCAATTTGCAGGAAATTTTAGTACATACCGTTTACTCTGAATTTTAGTCATTTCGCTTCTTGGACCCTTGAAATTTCTAAAAATCGAGAATAATAAACTGGTAAGTCCCAAATATACGGCAAGTCTTTATGACAAGCATAGAAATAATGAATTTTTAAAAATATAATTGACTCTAGTGGTGTTTCAATAATATTTTACACATGAATAAAATGTTTTAATTTCTAAGTACACTCAAATATGAATCATTATAACTGTCAAAATTCTCAAAAAAATCTGCAATACTTTTAAATTATGAAGAATGTTACCAAGAAATTTCTCCATAATGCTCGCAAACTACAGATTAGATTTTATGACACCGAGAAATAAGAAATGCCGAAAGATCTTAAACATTGTGAAATTACTCGTCGCCAAAATTCGAAATTTAATGTGCATTTAGATAAAAAGATTGACTGAATCACAAAAATGACTTATCTTAATTACCCCCCTCAGCGAAATAAATATGAAATTTACATTTTCCTTACATTAAAAATATTATAATATGGTGTGGGTATCTCTTACAGAACTTATCTGAACTTACAAGTCGGAAATTTATTACGTACGTGAGCATACATATTAGCGAGCTAAACGTATACAATTTGGCTCACGTAATGAAAAGAGACTTGGAAGTTTCTTGCTTTGCACGTGTTTGGATATTATTCAACTGGGTACAAACTGGGCTTATTCATGCGGGGACTGTTGTTAATTGTTTTTGCCGTAGTCTGGACGAAGTGCATGCAAGGAATAATAATTGCAGCTGTGCTAACAGCTTTTACAATAACGGGGCAAAAATTGTTACATTTTTCTGCAGATCAAAAATTGATTATGCTTCAGATTATGTTTCAGTTTACAAAACAGGATGCATACATTTTTATTTTAGAGGGATGCCGGCAAAAATTAATTTTTGTAAAAGCAGTGTAGTATATATTACATTATTTTTCGTATTAAATTGTGAAAATATATCGTTAGTAAAGTATTAAAACAATGCATAAATAAGAGGTGTGTATTACATTATATTATTTCTAGCATTAAAAATTATGATTTACATTATAAACATGTCGGTAGCAAAGTACAAACGCGTCGGTAGCAGAAAATTAAAACAATGTGGCAATGATTGATATAAAAATAGCCACATTAAAAAAAAATCCGTTATTGTATGTTTTAATCCTCGTAGCAATTGACAGTTTTTATTCAATTCTTTTTACAACTTTATTATTTTATTTCAATTAGACGCGTTTTTTTTATAATTTCCTTTTTTACTAATTTACATTTTGTGATGAGGTCAGTTACATTTGACATAATTATTTACATCTTTCTTTACATAAAACCATAAAAGGTCTTGCATCACAGCATTATTTATTTTTCTATTTTTACCAATTTACTTCCTATCACTCACTATACAAAAGGAAGCTTTTATCTTATTTAATATTATTTTCGTCCATGTGTTTACTCCAGACATGTATAAGAGAATAGCTGATAGTGTACATTATTACTCACAGTGAATAAATATTATTACAAATGAAAGTATCCCAGTTAGAAATGGATTTTGTAATCTTCCAAAATAAGAACAGACCGTTCAGCGTACCTGTACATCGAGAGCGCAACAAAGCAGTGACGCTTACAATTATCAGATCCATAGCGGTGCGTCTAAAAACGAAAGAAAGATTGTCTACAAAAGAGCCAGTCGAAGACAAAGAAAAAAATGTACCGACAGAAAACAGAGACTATACGGGACAGATATGAATAGAAGAGCACATTGTCTTCAGCCGGGGGAAGTTATTTTTATCCTGAGAAAGAATGCAATGCCATCTTCCTGTCGCAGTGTCGAGAAAAGAGCTCCAAATCATGAGAGCACCTAGGATGATATTTTCACGACAGTTGAAACAACCTTCCCGTTTTTAAAACGCAAATCTTTCGCCTTGGATACAAACATTTCGCATTTATATACGTAAGTTTCTTCAGGCAATGCAGACAGCTGATGATTCCATCAAAAGAAGCATCGATTTTTAGAATGCAAAATACGCCGTCAGGCATGGCCTTTATTTATCTTTTATATTATTTTTTCCTTGCAGAAGATGTCAGAAGCGTAGCAGAGATACGGAAAAACGTAATGAAATGTTCGTAGGGCGAAAACTGTGGATTCCGAGCTGCTTCATATGAAAGAAAATCTAGCTGACACGCATCAGATGTATGTAAAAGGTAGCTTTGGAATAAATACACTAGAGAAATTTTATCTGGAAAATAGTTACAAAGAAATATATGGAAAGTATGGAAAAGTAATAAAAAAGTTCAATGCATGTAAACAATTTTTGCCACGAATGTTATCCTCTTCTGGGGCTGAACTTAATGACTATACATACATGGAACTTCTAATTCCTCACCCTATAAGATAAATTAAAAAAGCAATCTCAGCTAAAACACAGATTAATAATTTAAATTACCACTAGGGTAATAAAGTTACATAATTAGTAATTTCATCAGTTTCCATAAAGTCTGCCTATCCGTGAATACGATAGAAAATGTTTAACATAACGTATTTTATTTCATGTGTTCAATTTAATTTTACAAATATAGAAAAGAAATCTCAAGTTTATGCCGGTAACAGGCATGAAAATATTATTCAGCAAAGAAGACAAAAGTGAAAAATCAAAAGACCTGAATATGCATATTTATCTCCCCATCCAACCCCAAAAAAGATTTCCGTATTGTTGATTACTGTTCATCCCAAGTAAGTCTGTGAACAGACTCAAGCGGATCTACTTACAATTATGGTAGGTTTGGAGAGCAACTCCTTAGACTTAGGGCACCAGTGATGACTGTCTGACTTATGCCTTGCTTCATTTCAGCTTCGATCGGGAATACTCCAAAAGATAGATATTTAAGGTCTGTACCCTTACTCGCATAGATATTGTTTACTATGCTCATAAACCTTCCTTTGGATTCGAATTCAACTTTTTAGCTTGGGAACAAGTTTCTTTTATCATCATAAATACTTCTGAATCCAAAGTATCTTTCAAATTTTTTATTACAATTTTAAATTTAATCTATAATTGCACCATCGCTGTCATTCGATCTTGCTTTTTTTTTTTTTTTTAAATTTTATTTACCCTTCAAAGTGATGCTTATATTTGTTCCGTTTTACCATTTGAAGTGTACTTTGCAATACATTTCACTCCGTTTCGTATTTTTTATGTATGAAAAAGCAGAAAAATCGCGTCGTAACTTAGCTAAGGAATGAACTAAAATTAACAGCAAAATTAGTTACAGAAAAATGTACACATTTGACTGAACTTTTAACTAAAAAGAAAGAAAGTAAAGCTGTGATCAGACTGGCCTAAGGTCTTATATTTCAATATCCTACATTTTCTTGCTCATTTTCAGATTATCTTATCGTTATGCAAATGTCACATTAATTAATAGCTGTTTAATATGGAAAGTACCCTGCTACACGCATTTAGATGAGTAAATATATCAAATTTGATATCCTTAAGCATTTAGAAATATGTTGTAACACTAGTTACGACCGCATTTGCAACACACATTATTCATTAAAAAAGGAATCGTGTGAGACAAAAAACTTCTGTACTCAAATTGCTTAATAAATGGCATTTTTATTTAAGAGCATGAGAAGATGTTTTCATCGGCATTAAAAACAATAATCTTCACATGAAAGTCAAAAATCAAATATGCTTCTTGAACTATTATTGCCGAACCTCAGCAAAGGGAAAAAACCCAACATAGGGAAAGCCTTGACCTCTAGAGTTTACGCGAGGTAAAGAAGCTCATAGAAAAGCCCAACGCATTCTGGAAAACGTGGGTGGCCACAAATACTATAACCTTCTCATCTTGACACTCAGAACAGGTGCCCGGAATGATGTAAAGCGTTGAGTTTCTCAGGTACACAAAGAGTGCTGAGTACGAAAGTACCCGGACCTCATTGAACCTCCTTAGGTGGCTGGTATTCCTCTTGAACAGGCTGTAGTGCCGTCTGCTCTTGATGATCAAGTGGCCATTGTCACAAGGGAGGCTAGTCACGAAAAGTCGTATCTAATTGCACTATTATTGCATTCCCCCTCTCAGATTGCATTGCTTAAAAATTGTCTGGAATTTAGAATGAGATGGGAGGAGGAACATCAAATAAAATATAAACCTATACGAATGAAAAACTAAGAAATAAAATTCAGCGGTATCTTAAGCACAATTGCTGGGATCATAGCTGCATAATGCTGTCGACTGACCTAGTTTTCATACGTCCTGAATGCATTTTTCAAATCCTTTATAAATAATTAAGGTTTAGATTGATGTCTATGCATAAACTGGTCAGAAAGATGTGATGTTTAAGTTAAGTTATCGTCAGTTGTTCTCTCAAAAAGCTCTCCTTTATATCCATTTATAACATGCCAAAAAAAATTTAAATGACTTTAATTTTACATATATATATATCTTATTTTTTGCATTCAAGAAATACCTTAATTTTTGCATTAATTTTGAATTCATTCGAATCTGAAAGAGTATTTGGAAAGATGTTCAGAATTCCTTATTAAAATACTTCTATATGGAATTTTCACAGTGCATTCATATAGATTACGTAATACTAACAAATTTTGGAATAACATTATTAAAATTAAAAAATAAACGAAGCGAAACAACAAGGTAAGAGTCTAGTAGACAGCCCTGGTTTATGTGATTACTGCAAAGCATTTGAGGTCTATCTGCCTATGGGAAGTAGTGCCTCCGTAGAGGACTTTTAAAGGAAACTGGCTCGTATATACGTTACGCACGAAGAAAACCACGAAAACGCCCATGCGGTCAGCCCGTTTAACCTGGAATCACACCCAGGTCGAATTGCCAGTGTTCAGCGACTTTACCGCTGGGCCTCTGGTAGGCTCTAACAGGGTATTTAATTGTTTAAGGCAAAGCTCGATAAGTCTACCTGTCTAAGGGGAAAATGATGCTTTCGTCAAAGATTTTCTGAGAGAAACTGGCTCTTAATTACGATATGCACGGGGAAAAAAGCACGGAAGCTTAGAAACAGCTTGT